ACGTGACCGGCATGCGTGTGAACGCATCTAAAACGAAAAGCCTAGTGCTTTCTCGTTCTCCTGTCCGTTGGTCGCTTCAGATTAACGGAGAGGCAGTGGAGCAGGTGGAGAAGTTCAAATACCTCGCAACTGTATTTACTAGTGATGGAAAATTAGAGGAAGAGATCGACAGGTGAATTGGAGTAGTCGGTGACGTTCTGCATGAAATAGTCCGATTCGTTTAGTCGATTGACTAAAGCAGTGCTCAGTTTGAAAGCTGAATTCTCGGTGTTCAAGTCGATTTTTATCCTCGTGCCTACCAACGGGCATGAGTCGTGGACCATGACTGAAAAGCTTCTGAAATGGGCTTTCGTAGACGAGTATCTGGCCTTGCGTGTCTCGGCATGGTCCGGCATATTAACATCCGGGAGAACCTTTTTAACATCCCCCCCCCTTTGCTTCTCCAGATTGAGAAGTCACAGCTGCGATGCTTTGACCACGTGTTGTGAATGCCTTTAGAAAGGAAGACATTGCAAGTGTTTCTTGTCCAAACGACCTGCAGAAGGCATAAAGGACGGCCAAGATTAACCTGGTGCAAATATATGGAAGGAGTCTGGTCCAGACTCCAGTTGTTTTCTGCAGAATCTCAAGCAATGGCACAGGATCGGCAAGGTTGGAAGTTCTGTCTGACGCGTCGGCCTCCTTGATCCAAATGGAGTGGTGGCCATGGAAGATGACGTTGAAGATATATATATAATTTGCAGTTTGATTTTTTTCTTAAAAAATGAATCCTTTTGTGATCCCGTTCGAGAAGTTGACTTTTTATCATTGACTCATTGTCGCGCGATTTTGACGCCAAATTGTTCACTCCGATTCATTTTTTTAAGTTAGCCTATTGTGGGCGTTAATAATTATCACAGCTCTTCGACAAATGGTGGTATGTTCTGCTGTAACTGCTGAAATATTCTACTTGTAATTTATATTTGCTCAGAAAAGCGAAACTTGGGTATGAGGGCCTTTTAGGACCGGTTTCTTAACCCCTTGACTCTTCTAAGACGTTCAGTATCTTGGAATAATTTAAACATCTCGAAACTCATTCAAGGAGACCTCATCAGACTCTTAAAAATTTACCATTGTTCATGAAATACCAGTAGAAGAGTGCATGATTCGTTGGAATGCTTTAAAATCGATTATTTTCGATCGCTTTTCAGGAGATGTATAGATCGTTCCCGGTGGTGACCGAATGAACCTATCGTTCTCAGGCTGTGGGTTTCTTGGCATATACCACATTGGGGTGGCAGCGGCGATCAAAGAATATGCTCCTGATTTGGTTACGGGTAAAATTGCCGGTGCGTCTGCGGGTGCCTTGGCTGCCTGTTCGCTCGTCTGTGGATGCTGCCTTGGTAACTTTTTGTTTCATTTTTTATTACTGTATCAAACGACACAACATCTTCCTCTTTCGAGACCACTGAAGGCATGAGCAATTCGGTCAGTCACTCAATAAAAGTAATTAGTTTAGTCCTTCTTTTTGTCACTCATTCACTTTGTCCGTATATCTTTCAACTTTTGTTTCCGTTAGTCATTCAGCAAATTTTTGAATTTCTCAGTCATGAAGCCATCTACTTCGTTGTAATCCTTGATATGATCATCGACTTGAAAGGTCAGATATTTGAAACTTCATCTCAGACACTTTAAGATGCGATAGGATGAGGTTGGATGAAATGAAACCAACCGAATGCTATCGTGTTTTAACTTGATCAAAGTTAGGTTCAAGCATTTGATCTTTCGGTTCATTGATCATGACAAAGAGCACAACGAAGTAACCGATTGCGTGGCTCACAGACAAATTAACTGCTAGAATGATTGACAGAGAGACAGACAGATAAACTGATTGACTTGCTGAAAGAATAACTAAATGAATAATTGCCTGACTCATGCTCTTTAGCTTTCAGTGCAACGAAGCAATGAACTGCTTGACCGACAGAGTGATAACCTCTCTGAATTAATGACAGAGACACTGGCTGAGAGACAGACTGATTGAGAACATTGAAAAAAATAACAGGTAAAGGTCATATGTTTGAACCGTGGCCACTGGAGTAGAAGACCTGTTATCTTGATCCTTGTATTGCACATCATGAGGATTCAGTTTATTGCCTTTTTGTATGTTGACTCAATTACCAGACCATCGTCACTGACGATTGGATCCTGACAATGATATCGTGTTCTTCCATTTGGAAAATTCAACGTGATCTATTCTGCTCTTCATCCAGAAATGAAAAGCTCCATTTATCATGTAGAATGTGGTTTACGTTGGCTTATTTATTTGTACTGACGCAGACCTGCATGAGAAAGGGAATACGACCTTGGCGGCAGCAACGAACGTGGTCTAATATTAGTATAAAGTAGCAGTTCTACGTGTCATACGTCATCAATCCGGGTTGTTCTGCTGTGTGAGCTCTGTTACGCTCAGGAGGATTAAAAACGACAACTATAATCATATTTTGTCTATTCTGCACAACAGCTCTGTATAAAAATTAAAATGAAAATGGCATTCTTTTGTCACAGTTGTACAAACGATTAACAGTCTGACTGAATTTGTGTGCATTTCAGGTTTCGTCTTTAGCAACACATTGGGTTCTTCAGGGAATGGTGTTAGTGAGGAGTTTGACACACTGTAATGTTGACTGGTTGCACTTAGGACTATTAGGTAAAAATCGCTCTTTCCATGTGCCAGACTGTTCCTAAGAATGATTTATGTATTATGTCACCTTTTAAGTTTTATGGGATTTTCATAACTACTGCGATATCTACTTTTTTCATTTCAGTGATGTAGAATCATTCGCTGTAACCCTGGTCTCGTACCAAGTGTATTTCCGTGTAGTCAGTCAGTTTGGATGAGCCTCTTATTCTGATTCTTTCAGGTCACGGAGGTAAACGCGTCAAGCAGTGTCACCAGAGTTCCCGATCTTGTGCCATCATTTTATCTTCGGCAGAAGACAAGCGGAGTCTAGAGCAGGTCCCCTCGCCCAAGTCCTATCTTATCTTCATCGTTAAACCGGCGATTCACCGTTCGAATTCTGTTTCACTATTCATTCGTTACAGCAGAGACAAAATCTTCTACTGTTCAACAGTCTGGCACATGGGTGACAACGAAACGGTAGAACAGAAACGAAATGAGCGAAGAAGGCAAAAAACAGATCAGCTGTGGGCCGTAGTTCGAATTAGTTTACCCAAAGAGCTTATCCAGGAAGAACGCCTCCACATCCTTTTGATCGCGAGGATAATGTCATGTTTCTTGGTTTTACAGATTCTCACTGGCGGCAGTGGCTTTTATGTTCGTCCCTTGGCTGATCCCACCATACATACTTGTGCTTTGCCTTTTTCTTCTACCAGCGTTATACATCGTTGTCATATCTGATTTGCAGAATGTAGACAAAGACATTTTATATCCTGTGAACAAAACGTCTTAGGCTGTGATTTTGGCCACTTATCTCAGTCCTAGTTATCTTCATGACCTCTTGGTCCCACTCTTTTGTTTCGTTCATTTCCAGAAGTCCTCAAGATTATCTCTTTGGTCTTTTGCAAGAGGTTCTACTTCATAGTACTTCTCTCTGCTTCGATCTATCTTTCTTACTATGCACAACCTCTTCTAGGCACTGTTTATAATTTTAATTCAGGGTTGGTATTCTAAACTAAAAATTCTCCGTTTGCAAGAACTCGTTGCTGAACGAAATCAGTGTTCATACTGCGAAGGTGTGAAAGTACAACGAGCTTCCATTTAATATTTAATTTCGAATACTTATCTTCGTGCTAATACTGTAATAATCTGTCGATTTCTTATGTTTCTCTTTGTGACTTCTACCTCAACACTTTTAAAATATTGACATACTCTTAGGTGAGGCGATCAGCGGCGTGCTGAAGATTACAAAAGAGGCGCGTTCGCGCTCGCTAGGACCTCTTCATCCATCGTTTGATCTCGTGCGTTATTTTCGAAGCGGCCTTAGAAACATATTGCCTGAGAATGCACACCGTCTGGCCAGCGGAAGACTGTTCATTTCACTCACCCGGTTTCAAGACGGGGAAAACGTGCGGGTATCGGAGTTCAGTTCCAAAGAAGAGCTGATCGATGTAAGAATGTCATGTTGACTTACATAATACTGTATAGAATAGCGGCCCTCACGAAGTGAGTAGGCGTTTCTTTGACAGTGTTGCGTCTGAGGCCTTCTTTTATGGTCATATTTGGTCAATCCTATGTCAGGTTGGATGGCCACTTCGCTGCATCGCAAAATGTTGATACCTGGATGATGATAGGTTCCAATTAGCTGAGTTACAGAGAGTTCAGTTATTCACAAGGTAATACAGAGGTTTTTGTGATGATACAGCGATACGACTTTCAAGCCCGTATCTCATGGACTTTCTTCAAGGTAAAATGTTCAGGAGGTATTCAGTTGTCGGGTATGTTGTCTGCCCCACCGGGTTCATTTTCAGCCAGTAGATGCGCTAATGGACAATAAACGTTTACGTGCCATTTTTCAGAATTACTGCTAACGCAGAACGAATTGTAAATATTTCTACTGCGGTTTCATGATGTAGGATTCATTTGAATGAATATACACCTATGTAGATGCGCACTTCGCCATCATGCGCCTGATATATAGCCATTGTACCCTTTGTAGTGTTCATTACTGGGCTCCAGGATTTTACCGTTTTTTTGACCGTGCAACAGTTGGCCAATTAGACGTTAGGCACAGATGGCTCTTTAAGGACCCAGCCCAATTCTGGGATTTTTTCTTTACGCCGTGCAGATTCTCATTGCATTGGAGCAGTGATATATCTAAACGATTTCTTTTACCTCCAAGAGCAACGAAGTTGACCGTTATGTAGCACGGTCTAAGGAAGTCACGTATTTTGAAAATATTTCTCTTCTAATTCGTCTTCACTAAAACGTCATTGACCAGAAGACTTGTTTATTGTTTGTTCGAAAGCGTATTTGCATAATTTTAGATTATTTGCTTTAGGTTTATGTTTTTATATTTATTTCATGATTAACTAGTATTTTCAGGCTGTTGTTTGTAGTTCATTTGTCCCGTTTTACAGTGGTGCCTTCCCGCCGGTATTCCGAGGAACGGTAGGCAACACTGTCCATATCTTACTCTTCTTCTAACCACTAACGCTGTTCAGAGTTACGTCGACGGCGGCTTGTCAGATAACTTGCCGATTC